CCCCAAAACCCCAAAACCCCAAAACCCCAAAACCCCTTGAAATAGAGAACTAGCTCTTGCAGTAGCATTGTAATATTAATAGAATTGATTATTTATAAAAACATATAATAATGATGAGATAAAGTAGAACAGGTTTTTATCTAGATCCGATTTAACAAAAAAACAATTAGATACCAGGCTAGTCCTTTAAGAAGGAATTTGACGATGATAGAGTAAGTTTCCACTCATATTCATATTTGCTTTGCATTTTCTGACTAATAATTTGATTATAGATGGAACACTTGGAAAATGAGAATGAATTATTAAAAATAGAGCTTAAAAAAGCATTAGATGAATTGCAAGCACTCAGGGAAGAAAATCTTAACCTCAAAAGCCAGCTGAAAGACCCATCAGTTAAAATTAAACCACCAGCAAGTATCGTGAATTAAGAGTCAACATTCATCACTAAGGGTTCTGAAAATCCTACGATTCAGTGTGACAATTGGTAATCAAATTAGTGATTGTTAACTTATGCTAATGGAATTATTTTAGCACTAAGGAAATAGATAAAAAGAACTTTGATCTTCACGTTGTATATTGCCTCAAGAATATAACAAGATGTCCATTTTGCAAGCAATAAGTAGATGTAAAAGAACTCTAGAGTCATATTGAGGAGAGTGCAGGATCGAAGTAAAAAGCATTGCAATTAAATGATTTAATAGAGATGATGTTCTGGCAGCTACAATAAATGGAGATCTGGAAAAATTGAAGATTATGCAGCTGCATGGCTAGGATCTGAGAGTGTGGGTTAATGAGAACGAATCTAGTAATTCTGTATTACACTATGCAGTTAAGAATAATAAAAGAGATATCGTCGAGTTTCTGTCTATAATGTAATATCTTCCATAAGTAATTATAATTCAATAGTGGCTTTAACATTGATTAACAAAACTAGTTTGGAGAGACAGCCCTGCATTGGTGCAGCGGCTAAAATAAAAACATAGATATGGTTAAGGTATTGATCCTTAAGGGAGCGAATTCTAACATTAAGAACTAACTTGGAGACTCTTCAGGGGGTAAATTAGCTGTTTTTAATTTGATTTAAGATTTGGCTCGTCGATATGGGAATCATGAAATAGTTTTGTTATTTAGTGCATAGGAGTAGGTATCTGCTAGTTCGTAGTCAATGAGGAGGACAAAGTAAGTCTTATTAGTAAATCTAATGAATAATACATAGGCAATCGTTTTTCAGTAATCATTGATCATGTGAATATTATTTATTGGTAGTACCTGCAAAATATTGCTTATTAACTTTTAGCTTAAAATATGTTAGTATGTAGCTAGATAAATAATATGATATTTATGAATTTCATTGTTCTCTCAATTCTGAGCAAATCTTAGTACTTGGGGTTTTGGGGTTTTGGGGTTTTGGGGTTTTGGGGACCCCAAAACCCCTCTACACACAAATATTAAATAAAGTTAATTTCATAAAATCAAAGAATCAACTTAATGATATATTTATTAAAAACATCAAAGTGGCTCAAGATAACTTCTTGTATTTATTAATTCTCTATTCCAAAAGCTGTTATTCAGTAGATATTTATTTCATATAGTTTAGATGCCAGTATTTAGAAGTCTGATTCATTTCTTTATTCTTTTTAGTTCTCATGCTTTTATTAAGTCTATCTGTCATTTTAATTTAATACCCCTAAAATTCTAAGGTTTCAAGTTTAGGAGGCTTGTGCTTTACTGTTAGGGGAAGAATTTGATTCTTTAAGTTCCTGCTATTCATCATATTTTTTAGTTCATCATAATATTCCTTTGTTATTATTTATAGCTATTTATACTGTTTGAGCTGCTCTTTAAGTTCTTGCTATAGTTATTTGTCTGTTTTCTTTGGTAAATCAGCTGAATCATCATGAAAACCAAAGATTTAAGATTCTCTGAAGGCTTTCATGTAGTCCTAGTCCGCATCTTCCACATTTTACCCTTCTTGTAATTCTATAGTTTAATTATGATCTTATTCCTCCTTAGTTGCATACTCTTTAATCAAAGGAGAATTCTAGGCTACTGAGTTAGATCTAATTGTATCTTAAAAATTCAATCCTCTTGATTTGTCCATGCTTTTCTATCTGAATGGTGATTATTGTTTAGAGAAAAAGCTCTATCTTTTGGAATCAAAACAGCAATTAGTCTTTAGAGGTTACATAAAACTAGTCTTATTCATTGATCTTTAAATTTCTCTGTATCGCTATCTCTACAGCTTCTTCTATCTCCTATCTTATTCAAGGAATACCTTCATTTAATCATTGAATACATCGTCATTATGAAGTGCGCTAAACTCCTTCATATCTGTGTGCTATGCAAAAGGTCTAACGTCTTTCATCTAAAACCTATATTTCTTCTCATAAAACTTCATCACAGTATCATCTTTCTTGAATAAAATCTTAAGCATGCATTTATCTGCAGGGTTATTCAGAAATGCAAGATCTTGCAGAGCATTTTATTTCTATTAAAATTCCATAAGATTTTTTATATAAGCATTCCGCAAAGCAACTTCATCCAAGTCTTCTTAATCGTATTTACTCTTAGCTCTTCTAATCTATTTTACCTTCTCATTAAAATAAATCTACCAAGGTCTAAGTTTCTTCATGTAATACATCTGCTGATCTTTTTATTGCTACTCTGGTTCTATAGTTATAGACGAAAGATTAATTGATTGACTTTGCTTATTTAGATCTTAACTAGCTGCAACATGATCAGACTCAAGAAAATTTAAGTTTCGTGAAGCACTGTTATCTTTAGGGTTTTTAACTTTGTAACTTTTCAGTTTGCTTTTATTAGTCCTACTTTTTTGATATTCTGATACAGTTATTTATCCTAGTTTAAAAAGACTCTCTTTGTCTAAAAGTTTCCCATGAGATGTATCTAGTCGTTTATGATTATAGAATGGATTTTTATCAAGTCCTTCTCTATTTAGATTTGATATTATTGAATCAGCCTTCTCATTATTGCTGTCATGAGTTGGATTTTGATTTCTATAGAGACTTATCAACTTAGATTCAAATTTGATAGGAAGTTTGTAAGTTGCCATACTACTTAATAACATCTCTTCCTTAATTTTATGCTCACTTCCTTTCATATTTGACTTTCGATTGAAAAGGTTTTGATTCAAGACGATATCTATCTCATCTAAGTCTTTTAAGAAATGAGTCATGTTCTGGTCTGGCATAGCACTACTGAAATTAGAAGTATCTTGAGTCGTTTGCTATTGTTGTTACTCTTGCTAGTTACGATTTGAGTTGATCTACAGTTTTGAATTATCATCACAGATATTCCTCAAATTCTGTAAATCTCTCCTCCTTTTCTTCGTGGTATTACCAGGTTGTAGCAAATCTTTTAACTTTGGACTGATAGTTGTATCTAAATTTAGAGGTTCTAATTTCTTTACCTGACCTATTCATCCTTTTGGCATTGATTTTCTGATATGATGTGACTTACCTTACTCCTTAATTTAATTATAAATCTTTTTTTCCTCTAGATCTACCTCTCCAGCCTCAGTCAAAAATATAATCTGGTTTTATCTATTAAATCTACTTTAAGGAGTCTTAATTTAATATTCAAGTTCTCTATTATATTTCTGAAGTGGACTTTAATTCTAATATGATGAGAAGTTGCCCTAAAGACTTAAATTATTTCTATGCACTGGTGTTTTATTCTAATTATTTTGCATTTTTATTTTATTGTAGGATCTAATCTTTAGATTATGCCTAGAATTGTGTTCAATGGGGTTTTGGGGTTTTGGGG